TGTCATCTACTAGGTGTGTTTTGGGTCATTATCATGTTGGAAAACTTGATAATGAAAACTTGCAGCCCAGTTTCTGAAGAGGGGCGATCATGCTCTGCTTGGAATTCATGTTTCCCTAAATGAACCGAGCTCCCCAGAGTCGGCAGCACTCATGCAGCCCCAAACCATGATGCTGCCACCACTATACTTGACTGTAGGCAAGGGACAGTTGTCTTGGTGCTCTTCACCAAGGTGCCACACATGCTGAAAGAGCACCAAGACAACTGTCCCTTGCCTGCGGTCAAGTATAGTGGTGGCAGCACTCATACAGCCCCAAACCATGATGCTGCCACCACTATACTTGACTGTAGGCAAGGGACAGTTGTAGTTCAGAAACTACATTCAAATCATAGTGGGGTTCCATACAGGACATTATGTAACTTTTAGGGCCTGTCCCAATACTCCCCCTTAGCCCTACCCCTTGGCCCTACCCCTACATTTGCGCATTCCCGCAAGGGGTAGGGGTGTCCCAATGCCTTTTTGTGTGTAGGGGTAGGGGGCATAACGAGGGGTAGTGGGTATGAAACTAGCCTTTCGGAGCGAGGGATATCAGATGCTTACTTGCCAGCGAGGGGTAGACGTCGCCATGGCTACCACCGAGCAAGAGACGGGGAAAGAAGTTCATACATAGCTAACGTTACCGTCGTCAGGTTGCTTGTTAGTTAGCTAGCTAGCTCGCACTATCTGGCATCTGTCATCTTTCCTGTTCTGCAAAATTGTCTGATTTTTCACATTATGATAACATGCCAGCTAATATAACTATGCTGCCTCATAATGTTAGCTGGTTAGCTAGCTAGCAGAAGTCCCCTGTTGTCTGTCGTTCATCAAACGAAGCATGATGAATACAGCAAACGCGATAGGTAGGATGAACTCAACCGGAGACTCCATTGTAGATGCCGGTTGGAAATGTAGATGGCTCTCAGCTTCCTGTTTAAAATAGTTACATATGCATGATCGTAACCAACACGGTGACGTAGTGAGTGGTGTCCCAATTCCTAGGGAAAGATTTCAACCCCTGTTGCTTCATTTCGAGGGCCAAGGGGTAGTGGGCAATGGCTAGGGGTAGGGCCAAGGTCTAAGGGGTAGTGGATAAGGGGGGTATTGGGATTGGGCCTTAATCTGAAGAGGGGGCAGAGGTCCCTTTGCGCCCAGTTAAGAAATGCTACCCTTCCTCTGGCTATTGAATTAGGCAGATATAAAGGTATCCCGGAGGAACAACGTATATGTGTTCTTTGTGATCTTGATGTTGTTGAAGATGAATATCATTTTCTGTTTCATTGCCCTTTATACTGTGATTTAAGAAACCACCTGTTTTAAAAAATTCAGTGGAAAAATCCTGATTTATTTTGGTTGTCCGGGGGTGAGATGTCGCGATGGCTTTTTGATGAGGAGACCTTTGCCTTGGCAAGATTTATAGAAAATGCTTGGCACTTAAGACAGAGAACGTACCCAACATAAGATGTTTCTGTTATGGAATTTGGCCTTTCTGAAATTTTTGCTTTTCCTTTTGTGGACTTTTTGTTATTGATCTGTCATGTGGCCATCCAGGCTGTTCTGTTTAGTGTCTTGTAAGCCCATATGGGCTGGGCACCACTTGGTGCACGACACTTAAATAAAATCAATCAATCAATCAATCTATGTGAAGACCAGCACGTTGTAGATGTTCACACCACTGCAAAAATGATGCAATAAAATAAGTTAAGCCTAAACATGCAGTGGAATGCAATTAAGAGAAAATTAAGAGAAATAACATAAAGCAAGAGTAACTGACTTAAATCAGTCAGGCAACTTTTGATTCAGGATAAATGGAAGGCTGCTGCATGTTAGGGAAGCACATAATGCTCTTTGTTCAAATAAGTGCTTGAGACATGTTTGAGTTTGCTCAAGTTACATAAATAATACAAAGGTGGTTGGTTCTGTTTTCTTTTGTTGGTTTTTGACAAGAGTGAAACTCAAACACAACATTAATCTGGACCAATCCTTCACGTCGAGCATTAAAGCTGCAGTAAACTTTGAGCATGTTTCCTTGGATGTTTCTTGCTGTTGTTGTATCCTATAATAGTAAGCAGAAGGAAAACTGCTCTTCTGCATTCCTCTTCCACCTGAGTCTAAACTGAGCAAGACTGTTATATTTTGATGAGAATACTGGATTAGATAATACTTTGGTTCAGTTGTTTTCTTTCAAGGCAGCACAGAGGGTAATGATTAATAACTACAATATTTAGAGCACAAGAACCTGTCTGACCTGCTGTGGTGTTTAGAAAGTATTACTCTAAAAGTACTTAAGTCCTTGGTCATGATTAGCTTTATCCCATTGTTGTGACTTGATTTGCAAAATCATTTAATAATCATTCACATTAGTATTAGTTTGTTTTATTTTAAATGAACCACGTGCTTTTGTCGGTAGCAGCATCCTGGAATGTCAAAAGCGGATACAGGATGATACCTAACATGTACAATTTGGATGAGATAGGTCATTGACAAAGTGGTGACATGTGACAACTTGGGATGAGAATATGTTGGAAAAATATTACTCTCCTTCCAAAGTCATCAAATATCACTACTTAGTCCGTGATATTTGATGACTTTGGAAGGAGAGTAATATTTTTCCAAAGTCATCAAATATCACTACTTAGTCAGTGATTTCCGTGTCAGACACCAACAAGAAAAGTCATCCTTTCATGGCGGTATGACACGCAGCTGGATGGTGTCAGTTTGAAATGCCACCAGTAAACAACGTACCTTAAGGAGCTGTAGAGTCCCTATAGGGCGGCTGGTAAGGGGTGGTGGATGGGTCCAATAAACCCCGAACTATCACTCGCTTTCACCGTCTGTATGAATACTGAGCCAAACCATGATGTTTGTTTTTCTAAACCTTACCACATGCTTTTATTGCACAAGGAAATAAACATAAATACAAGGTGTTTTATCAGTGTTTATTTTGAAAAAGACTGTATGTATCTTACATGCAGAAGTGTCAACAATAAATGCATCCAGGATACCTAGCGGGTAATATGTAAACATCAAAGATCCACTGAAAGAATGGCAGTATATGATGAGTGGGGATGAGAATATTCAGTGTAGAAAGGTTTCTTTTTTTCAGACAATGAGTTTCTAGCAATCCGATTTGCCAGGCTGGTCACACCTCCGGGATACTACCAGCTAATAAAGACACGTCATGACGCACGTCAGATGACACTTCTGAAGAAGACTGCAGTGACAGTCGAAACATGTCAAGGTAAACTACATCTCCTTAAAAACTCATTGTCTGAAAAAAAGAAACCTTTCTACACTGAACTTAATTTGAGTAGACAAAATGAACCTATTTACACTATGGGGATGAGAATATGTTGTATTTTTCTAAATTCTGTCTAGTTCAACAGGTTTGCACAGACTTTATATATTTATTTGAAAAATGAAGACTGACCTCCGGGTGCACACAGAAGTATATAGATGTGGAAGAGGTTAGGCCATGATTTCCAGGAAACAGTCATGCTGGTGCTGTTATCCTGAAAGGTAAAAGAGAGACAGCTGTTAAGAGTTTTCAGCAAGTCCATTATCCATCTGAGTTGAACCTCAAATGACACAAAAGCAAAAACTCCTTTGTTTGTCAGCAGTGGAGAGGGCTTCAAGAAAATCCCTCAACTAGCAGCTTAGCTTGAGTCTAGTTTGGAGGGAGAGTTGTTTCTGTTTCCAGGAACGGACTGACATAATTTAAATTTTTTTTTTTTTAATTACTCTGAGGTGTTTTTTATTTTTCATTCACACAAAATGAGAGCCTATATTATACAGTTTCATCCCTTCTTTTTTGTCACATCCTATATGCAAAACCAAACTTTTTTAATGTGGTATATGCTGTCATCATGCAAAGTAAAATATTTTCCACACAATCAGCACTACTTAGGAAAAATAATCACAACATAAAATATATCAGTACTATGCAGAAACACTACAGCCACACAGCACAGTGACGATTTTTACAATCTTTCTGTTATCAAACCACCTTAAGTTTATTTTTTACTGGGACAAAGACATAAAGTCAGTTAAAAAGTTCAAGTTCTCAATGAATACTGTCCTCTTGATGAACAATACATTGGTAAATAAAGGTTATTGGTTTGTGTAGTTGGATAAAAATTAACCTGAGAATTACAGATAAAAAAAAAATCATTTAAGCTGTAATGGTAAGTCTGTATTCGTATACTTAAATTTAAAAATAAAGCACATAATTGAAGAATGTTAATATCACAAATGGTCAAAACATTACATTTCAAGAAAAGAGGAAATGTTTGAGCATGGTTTGGAGCACGTTGCTATTCTAATAAAACATTTTTGCAGCATAAGAATTTAAGGAAGATATGTGGGGTAAGTGTTTTCCCAGACAATTTAACAGTGATATATGGATATATTAGATGGTAATACAATGCTAAAAAACAAGATGGATGTACCAAAGGACACATTTTTCTAATAATCCCCAGAGATTTTGTGACTTTACTGCAAATAAAACCGATCTTTCCACTTTGTTAGTGTTGATGTCAAAACATACAACTCTCATAATCACCTTGGTAGATATAATCTCTGTCTTCATTATTAAATATTCAACAAAACTAACAGCATCGTCAGTTAAACAAACTTACTGCTTGAGAGCCCAAGTTGCGGTGTGTGTAACGCTTCATTTCCTGAATAGCCAGTGAACAGCAGGACTCCACCTGAAGCTGTAAAACTCTAATGTGGAGCAAAGTTCAGTTCCATTGAAACTCAGCCCTTATCACCGCAGTATACCTGCCATGTGGCTGTGGGTGGAAAACCTTTTCACCTGCTGGCAGAGTAGACATTTAAAGGGATAGTTCGACATTTTGGCAAATTCGCCTATTGCCGTAATCCCTATAGTCATATGAGTAGGTACATTACCTTTAATTGTCAGTGTCTGCTGTTCTGAGATCGGTGGGGCAGAGCTGCCCGCTGCTCAGCGCACAAAATGGAGGTGAACGGTACGGCCCTCTCTCTCCCTCAAAACGAATCAAATACACCATCAAATGACTCCAAAACGCTCTTGTGGACACCACCTCCATTTTGTGCGCTGAGCAGCAGGCAGCTCTGCCCCACCAATCTCAGAGTCAGAATCCTAGTGTTAGGCCATTTTAAAGTGAAGTATTGAGGTTGTGGAGAGTTAATGGTATCCAACACCTGCGGGTGTGGTTTTCACATCCGGGCATTTGGCGAGGCACACTTCCGGTAGAAATTTGAACGACAGCCATTGTCTTTCCCCCGCATACTCGCAATGAGAAGACACCACGCAAGTGACAGGTGAGTATCACGTCGATATAGCTCACTGTTTGATTGATATTTTGCACAAAAATGTGTTTGTGTTAGCTCGATATTCCAAATACAGGAAAATGGCGATATTATTGTTGTCTTACTAACGAATTACCGCCGCCGTACATGCAGGCTAAGCAGACATGCCAGGGCATGCACGTATCACTTATGTTTCATGCTAACGTTAGGGCTTGGTTAGTGTTTCCACACACGGTAAATAAACGGTAACATAAACTAGTGTAACTCTGTTGAAGCTGTTTGGGTCGAGTTAAAACGGTTTCTGTCGTTGAAAGAACAACGCGGGCGTAGTATTTCTGGTGACTACTATCAATGATAGAAACATTTAAACGACTAGTCGGTTAAGCAGGAACATCCTTAGTTCAGAGCCACCTCTCCCCGTGATTCCTCCAGAGGAGCCTCCGATGGGCAAACCGCCAACCGGTCAAATTTGTCCGCAGCTGTGGTTGGATTTAGTGATGCACAGTATAACGTTACTGGTACCAACGATAGACCACAGTACTTAAACACCAAGGTACATATGATACCATCATGTTGGAGTACCGTAGTACTAAGGTACCTCAGGTACCACTACTGTGGGATAAGTTCAAAGTCTGGCTGGCCACCTGGCACTCAATATGCTGCTGCAGTGGTTTGTTTTCCAGTGACATTTCAAGTATTAGCTGAGCTATTGAGTATCTGAAAGCAGTGAAAGTTATTAGGCTATTTATTTCTCATTTGTTTTCCACAGAGCTCTATGGTGCAAGCATTTTACTCGCATTTGCGACTAAAAATAGTTTTGTGCGAGCAGAAGAAATCATTCAGGAGCACGCTGTGCGAGTACAGATTTCAACCAGCAGCAGAAATGAAAGGCAAATCCTGCCGGTTGTGGGTTGAACGGGGGTCACAGACAGGAATATGGCGGAGCACCATGGCCACCGCAAGATAACAATGCGGTTTACCGGCGACCGAGAAGTCCAGCTCCAGGTCCAATAATTTCCTCTTTGTGGTGTCATGACTGCCCAGAAATACCTGGACAGCCATGCCGTAGCAGCACACAGGTATGTGACATGTCAGAGGAGAAACGAGCCATTCATATTTCTCCCTTTGTGGCAGGTAACGGTCCACAAACCTCACCGCACTTTAGGGACTGTTCTTTACTTATGAAGGGACTGTTCTTTACTTGTCAGGGGAGGAGGGTGGCTGGTTGATTTTTATTTTATTTATTTATTTTATTTTGATCCCCCCTATGTTAATCACTTATTGATGCTGTTTTTGAAGTATGAATAAGCCAATAAGTAATTTATTCCATTGAAATATCATTGATGTATTATAGAAAAGTGATTTATCTTTTTATAAATGACAAAAGGCACATCTGCCTAATTTTTGCTGTGGTATCGTGATACTACTCAGAACCGTGATACTTTTACTGGTATCGTACCGTGGGTCCCAATTTTGGTACCGTGACAACACTAGTTGGATTGTATGTAATTTTGTTTAGATAAAATAGTCAAGCCTCTCAATCTTTGACTTTTCCTAAAAGTGTGTTCTGCTTCACCCTCTATTGTTAATTGAGGATCAGAATGTTTCTACGTTCTGATTCAATTTTCTACAATTTCTATGATTACTCATGTCTTTTAATTCAAATCTTAAGATAACACTGATGCACATGTCACTCTTTTGCTTATGCAATTAACGTTGTCTATTTTGATTTGTAGCACTAGCAATCAACAGGACCAAACGAGCCCCAACGTATGTTCTCAGCCTTCAGGTAAGTGAAGTTGGAGTGAAAATTTAAGGTTAAAAGTTTGTACAATGTTCATGGAATAGCATAAGTTAGATTAATATCCCTCAAGATTATGTTTTACTTGTGAAGTCAAAGTAACTTGTGTATTCCATTAACACATGAATTCTTCTTGTATATCAGATCCAAACCAGATTTCACATTATCATTTATTTATTTTTTCTTTTGTGGCCACAGTAAAATGGTCATTTGCAAATGATCAGTCTTGCATATTGCAATAATAAAAAAATAGTCACAAAATGACTTTCATTCCATAGTGTGCCAGTTGTACTTGATTGCCATTTAATTGGCTGATAATTTGTTAGATAACCGGAATATTGTATTTTTCAGTGCGTTTGTTTGACAAGATACAAAGATACCGCAGTCATCATAAGAAGTTCAGGCTGCATTTGTAAATAAGAATTTGTTCTTAATTGCTTGCCTGGGTAAATAAAGGTTAAATAAAAATAAAATAAAGTGTGAAGAGCAGTATGTTAAGTTCCAGACCTGTCAGACAGAAAGACATCTTCATATCCAACAGCTTCAGTTACAAAAAGTATATTTTTGTCCATCAGAGACCATTTGAGTGTAGTGAAAGTTTCACATTTTTGTATAGGTGATTAAAAAAAAAAAAATGTAATTTTTCTGCAGGATCACGCTGAAGATTGCAAGATGCTATTTAAGGTGCAGTACAAAGACCGCAAGAAATACATCAAATTACAAGCTGCTGATTATGAAGAATTCATTTCTGAAGGTAATTGTCCCGATTTGTATATGACTAACCAGTAACTTTAACTGACTGGACTTTTTTCTGATTTAAACAAACAACCATGTGGTATTTTAACTCATCATTTAGTGAGAGAGAAGTTCTCCATCCTCGTGGACAAGATTTGTGTGGAAGATGATTCGGGAACCGAGGTGGATGAATCTGTGTTTGCAGACTTGGCCCCACATAATGGGATTTGCTTCATCATCCAGGACGGTGACAACAATGGTAAATTAACAAAAAATAAAGCTTTATATTCCATGGATGGACAGGGCTGTTGAGCACAAAGTTGGGCATAGTTTTTTGGCTGCTGTTTGTAGATTCTTCTAGCATGGTTGATTGCAAAATCGTATGTACAATAATGCGGCAATGTTAAGTATTTATACACCTTTTTGTTTTAGATTCAGGTGCATCTGTGTCACCTCTATCCACACCACCATCCACATTTGGTGGAAGTTTCCTGTCTGTGTCCAGCAGTAGCAGTGACTGTGAAGCAAGACCACTCAAGCGAAAGAGAAGTGATGAAAAGGCATCCCAAAGTTCTTCATCCAGTGATGTAAGTTCATTATCTAACTAGTTCCTTGCTTGTGATATATTAGCGTTCATTGTACGTCGCTTTGGATAAAAGCGTCTTCTAAATGAAATTGTAGAATCTGATTGCTAATTTAGATTGTAGTCGTCACTTTGATTAATTTCATGCATTTATTTTTAAATTGCCATTGTACAAACTAAAGTTTCAAACACTTGATGCTGTGCTCCCCCAAAAATGGATTTTTCTTTAAAATCTGGCTTGTCTTAATCATTTCAGTCCTACCATCATCCTGACGTCTGAAATTACTTTGCTGCTCTTGTCTTGCATTAACACTGCTGTTATGATCCGTTTAGCTGATCAAGCAGATTCGACAGACAAAACCAGGAAGGACAACAGTGCTTGAGGAATATGAAGAGACTGGGACTCTCAGTGACAGTAGAAGAAGGCAGATGATTAACATTCTTGCAGGACATATGGTTGAGAAAGAAGGGTAAGTTTAAAATACAAGGGTTGGGGAGTTAACAGCTATTAAACTTATTTTGTTTTTAAACGATTGTGAATAACTACAATTTAGGTACGGTAGGGCCTGATTACTGATGTTTTTTTCCTAGTAATGTTAAATTGTGAAAGGGTTAGAGTTTATGCTAGTTTTTGGACCACCCTTAATATTCCAGAATTCTGGCCATATACTGTAGAACAACCACCATATTTTAAATAACCTTATAGTAGCGTTTAAACAGCAATAATAAAAAATTAAAAAAAACACTTAACAGGGATAGTTAACCCTAAAATGCAAATAGTTATTAGCTACTCGCCTTCATTCCGACGGATTGATGGGTGAAGTTTTATGATCATCTGTGCACTCCGGGAGTTTAATGGGAGCTTCATTTTTCAAGCAAATGCAATGAACGGTAACTGAGATTCATACGTCCAAAAAATACATAATAAATCCATAAAATGCCTCCATACTGCTCGTTCAAAGTAATCCAAGTGTCCTGTATCTTACATATGCCAAGACGTTTGGAAAGAAAAAACATCTCAAACTTGTGTTAAGTTTTGTTTGATGTGCTGCATGTTTCTGCTTCAGGACACTTGAATTTCTTTGGGTTACTGGTATGGGGGAAATTTATGGATTAATTATGTATTTTTGGAACTTTTGAATCTGTTACTGTTTGCTGCAGTTATTGGTCAAACAAAGCTCCAGGAAACTCCAGGAGTGCACAGATGATCAAAAAACTTTCCCTGTTGTTCCGTAGGCATGAGGGTCAGTACATAATGACTGAATTTTAATTTTCTCTCAACATCGCTGTCTTTGCAGCACATCTTACTGGTTACACAAATTAGGTAATTTAATATGCTATTCATTTATTTATGTATTTGGCTTATTTCCCACGCTCATTTTGGTCGCTGATATTTTCATCTGCCATTCAATTACACACTAAACCGGCATGTGTCGGCTAATGTGAACTCTGGAAAGGACATTATTTTTTTTTCTTCTTTTCTTTTTCCTTGAGTGAAATTGGAGAAAAGGCAGCAATTATAGTAGTAAGAAACATTACTTAAGTAATAGTATTATTCCACCCTTATAAAGCACCAATGCTTAATTGGTATAGCTTGGTAAACAAACAAGATTCAACTTTATTTTTCTTTTCAGGAGAATCCCTGAGCGAACCACTAAAGAGAAATACGCACTGGGAATTGTTACCTTGTTCCCTGCATTGAAAGATCCCCTCTCCAGGAAGGGATATGTAAGTCTTATTTTGATTACATACCTAACTTTGAATTGTACTTTGAACTGTATCCAGAAATTCCTTTTATTCCTTTTAATTTAAAAATTTAAATGTATTTATACAGAAACATATACTTTTTTTGGATAACTATGGTGTAGGGATTTGCTAAAGGCAAGTTGGTTATCAATTGTTAATTACCAATGGTAATTAGTTAAGAAATTAAATTATTAATATGTATTAATAATTCAGGGGCACCACCCTGGATACAGGGATCAATGACCAACCGGTTTTTAGACAAAAAGGGAAAAATCCTCGTCTCAGTTTGCTAATATAGGTAAATATTAACAATCAAATAATTAGAAGGCGTGAACCCAAGCACTGATCATTACAACCAACTATTGATACAAAAACGATGCACAAATCACCAGAGGACTGCTATAGTAAAGTCACAAATGTTTATTAAACAATTATCATTCAACAATCACAAGCTGTTCACTTAATAAACATGCTACACTAAATTGACTTACTAGAAGCAACAAATCAAAGCATGCAAGTGGGTCTCTGTGTGCGTGTGTGTGTGTGTGTGTGTGTGTGTGTGAGTGAAGGGAAAGAGGTAGAGAGAAAGAGAATGGCAGGCGTGGCCTCTTGAGGGACAGCCACGTCACGCCAGGTACTGATAAGAGTAAGGCAGGAAATTTGAGGGAAGAAGTACTGAGGCGGGATACTAGAGCAAGACAATGGGTCATAAAACAGCTGGCTACATGTGCACCTTTAAAGTACGCACAAGATGGCGTCCGGCGGGATCAAACACACTGTATGCTCTAACAGAATAGCTGTGCCAACACGTGTAGGTGTGTAGAGTGTGGTAATGGCGAACTGCCCTTAAGGAGTTGCTCACAAGACAATGTGTGATTTTACCACAGGTATAATGTGTGTATGTGTGTGTGTGTGTGTGCATGCGAGTAGGTTAGTTAAAAGAGGGGGAGAGAGAGAGAGAAGAAAGGCAAGCGGGCGCTCGTAATCAGCGAGGTAAAAGCGGCCGTGGAGGAACACAATGGTCACTTTCCTATCCCTCAGAGGCCGGTAGACTAACTGGGTCAGCCTACCGTCCACTGGTCCTTGTTACAGATAGGAATGCGGCGTATTGTGAGCGCGCGGCCGGCACACTAACGGCGCAATCAATTTGCTCTGGCGAGCGCAACAACAAGCAGCAATCAATGATTAGATTTATCAAAGAAAGGGACATGGCGGTCCTCAAAGTTCACAAAATCACAGTTACAGTTACTCTTAAGTCACGCTATATATAAAGTCTCTGCCCAGACTGAAGCTCTCTTACTTGAGTCGCCAGCACGACAACATGTGTCCCGTCTGTTGCTGTGGGATGAGTGCGCGGGCCGCTGTAGGAATGAAAGATGCTGTCCTCAGTGTGGCAGAAGAGGGATCAGCTGAGTCGACTCAGTTGAAGAAACGGGGCCTCAGTGACTCCGTCTTCCTCGGGAGAAAAAGGGGGTTCTCCAAAATCTGCAGATGCTGAGGAACGGCGGGGTTGCGCGGCGTTCCTCTGGTGCTCCGTGGAGTGTTAAAAACAAAAGAAAAAGCGTCTTTCCTCGTCCAGCGAGTCAAGAAACAAAAGGGCGGCCTAGGTCGGTTAAATTCAAACTTTTGAGGTGCTCCCTAGCAGTAACTTGCGCACAGAAAGCTTTGGCTTCCTTCCAGCAGCTCGTCACTCAGGGATCGCGAGGGGCGTCAGCGCGCAGCGGCAATTAAAGTCTCAGTGACGTCATAGGGGGTTCCTTCTGACTCCACCTGAACCTGGCTGCTGTCGCCCAATGGGGAGCAAGAGTTTGAATTTCAAAAGTGATTTACACTTTTATAGCTACCGGACCAATGGAAGCTTGGCGCGTTTCCTTTGTTCTTAGACTGGCTGGTTTTGTCAAGGCCTCTCTATTGTTTAAAACATGTGGCTGAGGTCCCAACATTGGCTATGTTGATGCATTAGTCATGAATTTCTTTTTAGTCTTTAATATACTGTGTACACCAGGGCTATTCAATTTAAAAATTCAGTTGTGCCAGATTTCAAAAGCATGACCTTAAGCTTGGCCAAACATTGTAATGACAAATTTCAAACCAATGTGAATTATTTCAGCCTAATGAATGAGACATGTAGTGTCTATTAATTGTTTCTCCTTTTAATCCTGAATGCCACAGGTACATCAAAATGTGGATAAAAACACAAAAGAGCTGTAATTGAACAGAACTGAGGCTTTGTGGAAATATTTTTTTTCACTTTTGAAATTATAAAAAGTATAATTGGTTACATCTGACACAGACAAAGCAAAGTGTATAAAATTCATCATTTTGAAATGATATATTTTGGTCTGACCCAGGCATATCTCAATTGCAGATAATCAAAAAAGTACAGAATAATCATGTACTTTCAAAAAAGTACAGAATAATCATGTTAACCTTATGAAATAAAATGAACATTCTCCTCATATGTGACTGAGGCACATCACAAAATGTATTTCACTGAATAGTTTAAAGGGATAGTTCAACATTTTGGCAAATTTGCTCATTGCCTTACTTGCAGTGGGGAGGTACATTACCTTTAAGAATCTGTGCTGGCAGAGGTGAAGATGTGCTACCTGTTAAGCAATGAATGGGAACAATTGTACAGCCCCCCCTTTCTCAAAATAATCAAATAATGCATTCCAACAACTCAAACACTCATATGGACAGGTTATGACTGTCATTCACCACGGTATGAAAACATAACGTAACAAATACTTGGAACTACTTCCTGTGTGAACTACTGGGCGGAGTGATACAGTGCTTCTCAGTATTTACCTCAAAAATTTCTGTCTTGTAACGTCATGTTATTTTTACATAGTGTGGTGAATATGCAAGCCATGACGTGTCCATAAGAGTATTTTGGAATTGTTGGGGTGTGTTATTGATTTGTTTTGATTGAAAGAGGGGCTGTACAGTCTGCTTCAACTCTGTGTGCTACAGTTAGCACTCCGTCTCTGCTTTGTAAGTATTGGCAAGCTAATCAAAGGTAATGAACCTACTTGTATAATTACATAAAGTACTGCAATGGGCGAATTTGCCAAAATGTTGAGCTATCACTTTAAGATGCAATCAAACTCTGCACTACTGCCGTCTTATGTATAAAAAAAAATTCCTTTTCTAAAACTTTTTTTTTTTTTTTAATACACAGCATTAGGAGTTTTTTATCCCTTGTTTTTCTCATATCTTGGTGGTAAAATCCTGTCAAATTTATGGTTTTTGTTTTTCACTAATTTTTGTCTGTCTTTGGTCAGGAACATTTCTATGACAGCCAAAGTGGCACTGGATTTCTGGCATGGCGGCTCAAGACCGTTCAGAGGAACACAAAACTTCCATTCAAGGAACCAAAAATGCAGACAGCAGGAGTTAGCGGTCCAGGACAAAAGAGGGAGCTGCCTCAGATTGGTGGTCAGTTGGATGAGGAGCATTGTAAAGAGATCATATCCTTGATGAGCCACATCACTGACAGAGAAATAATCCTGCAGAAGATGAAGGAAACCTTTGAGTATAGACAGCACCTCATCCACAATCCTGATGAGTCGGGTAACATACTGTGTTTCCAAGGCTGCTGGACACTAAAGGGCTTGTAAGCAGGGTGTAAAATTAACATTTTACCTCATCTGCCATTGGCTAGTGACCTCCAAAAATTTACTGGCCAGACATATTTTTCACCAGCCAAATAAAAAAATTGTGCCTTATGTGACGAAAAATAATTACCTTACGTTTTTAGTATGAAAATCCAACTTTAGGAAAATCCAACCCTGTCCTCTGTGTTTCTTTGGCGTGCTTGCGGCAAAGGCTGCAGTAGTAGTAGGCCTATCACGATACCACAGCAAAAATGAGGCAGATGTGCCTTTTGTCATTTATAAAAAGATAAATCACTTTTCTATAATACATCAATGATATTTCAATGGAATAAATTACTTA